CTGGATGGGCCTTTGGCCTGATCCAACATTGGCGTCTCTTATGTTCTTATGCTCCTGATTGAACAGCTCTGAAAGAACCTGTGACTGACCCAAGGTCACACCAGCAGGTGCACGTGAAAGACTGGGGAATCAAACCCGGTTCTCCTGGATTAGAGTCTGCACTCGTAACCACTATGCCAAACTGGTTCCATGGATCTATGGCACTAAATGAAGCAAGAGATTCTTTGTGTGACAGCAAAAGAAAAACACAGTGGTCCTTCATATGAAGCCAAGAGATTAGATTAAGGTGTTTACAGAAGGGGTCATGGCTCAGTGGTAGATCTTCTGCTTTGCATGCATGTGTTGTGCCCTTCCCAGTGTCTGTTGGTGCTCACTTGCTCCCCGCCCCCCCTCCCCAGCAAAGAACCATTACTGGTTTTTCTCCACCCCACTAGAGCAGGAGGTGCTTCTCAAGAGCCCAGGAGGGCATCGCCTTTGTGTCTGCAGAGGACGCCCACCTCCATTGGCTTGGCATCTCCGAATGCCTCTGTGGAACCACCCAATGTTTTATGGTTGGAGCTAGGCTCCGATGGCAGCTGTTTTGTGCTTGGCCCAGACCACCCTATGTTGTAGTGCTGACTAGGTGTTTTTAAAATTCCAGAAATGCCCACACAGGCACAAGGTTGGAGGCCCCTGTTCTGTACTCCCGGGTGACCTTCAGCCACCCAATGAACAGCCTTGTGTTGTGGTGGTGGCAGACGCTTCCGGAGCAACATTTTTAAAAAATCTGCACAACCAATCAGAAGCCTTGCTGGGCAAAAGCCCCACCCACTTTCTAAAAACACTTGAAGGGCACCAGGGAAAGTGCCATGGCAAGCCCCATGCTGCACAAACGGGGGCCTGCGTAGTGTTTTTGGCAGGCAAGTTGTTCTGTGATGTTTGGTCGCAACAGCTCTGTTGCTAGTTCTCATTTTGCTGCCTTGCTACTCAGTTCCTTTTAGGCAGAGGTGGGACCTCAAAATTCTCTCTCCTTCCTTTCCACCCGTTTCTGCTGCCTTTGGGACACACCAGCTTCATGCTTCACAACAGTGGCTGTCTTTCAACTGGTTACACCGGTAAATGGATAGGAAGGCATTAGCCGGGTTGAAAAAAGCTTGCGTGCGTGCTACAGTAGAATACTAGAAAAGTAGGCATTGGTTCCAGGTTCAAAGCGTTTAAGGCTTATTGTAGAAAGCTTCAGGGCTTTGAAGAAGTTTCTTTGAAACGGGAGCTTTATCCGGAACACCGTCACTGTTGTCGTTGAGGAATCCGTGGGAGTCCTGCAACGAACACTGTTCTTCAGAGTCAAGACGTTTACATTAGAAAGACTACAGGGATTTCTGATTGTTTGTTCTTTATGTTATGGTTCATGGATACAGCTGTGTAACTGAATAGTCACAAGGACTTTAGAGCATAGGTGTTGAACTCATTTGTTACGAGGGCCAGATCTGTCATGTCACTTTGTCAGGCCCAGTCACGTGTGCCATAAAATGTAACACGAGGCACTGGAGAACTTTATAAAGCTAATTTCAGATGCTGAATGGCAACAGCAGACGTGATTGGATTAAGTGTGATATGCAGAGGGGTGGAGATATCAGCATTGGTAATGAGACAGGAAACCTAGGTCTCAATTTGGTACAGGAGGATGCAAAGAATAAATGGAAATAAGTCTGAAGACGTGAGCAGTGACTCATGAAAGCACATACAAAGGTAAAGGTTCCCTTGCTCGAAAGCCAGTCAAGTCCGACTCTAGGGTTGCAGTGCTCATCTCCGTTTCAAAGCCAAAGAGCCAGCACTGTCTGAAGATGTTTCCGTGGTCATGTGGCCGGCATGACTAAACACCAAGGCGCATGGAACGCTGTTACCTTCCCACCGAAGTGGTACCTATTTATCTACTTGCAGTTTCTTGCTTTTGAACTGCTAGGTTGGCAGGAGCTGGAACTAGAGATGGGAGCTCACTCCATCATGCGGCAACTCGGGTCTCGAATTGCTGAACTACTGACCTGCCACAGCCTGCAGTTCAGCATCTTAACCACTTGAGCCACTGCAGCTCCATGAAAGTACATACACTACCACAAATTTTGTTAGTCTTTAAGGTACTACTGGACTCTTACTCTTTCTACTTCTATTAGAAACCACAACATCCAAAAACCAGCGGGGGAGCATTTTAACTTTCAAGGACATTCAGTTGCTGATCTAAGAGTTGCCGTTCTCTTTCAAAGGAATTCCAAAGGGCGATTAGAGAGACTGCTGAACTGCAACTGGTAATGAGGCTCAAGACAATGCAGCATTCTGGACTGAACTGAGATCTAGGTTTCTTCTCTCATTACCAATGCTTGCTATTGTCATTTGCTGTCTGAAATCACTTCACTCTCCAAGATATAAAGACAGATGGACTCCCATTCTGGCTGAATCTAAAGAAATGAGCAGTGACTCTTGAAAGCTCATGCCCTGCCACAAATTTTCTCAGTTGTTAAGGTGCTCTTGCTCCCTTCCACTAAGAAAG